GTTATTCTAATGGAAAATAAAGTGGAAAGTTCCACTGAGTGAATGGCCATTAAATAAAAAAATTTTTGAGTTGTTATAATTTTTTTCTGTATCAACCCAGCCAAGTAATAAAATGTAACGACAACACAATTTCAACGATGGCCATCGATAAATGATGCGATTTTAATGCTCTGTACCCGTCAACCAACGTAACCAGCGAAAAAAATTTTCATTTACCAGGAACTAACAAAATTACATCAACCAACAACATTTTGATACGATGATGCCATCAGCATATCAGTTTCTTACCTTTGTTTTCTTTCCCTTCTTCTTTTTCTTCTTCTTCTTCTTCATCTCTTCTCAAAATTCTTCTAAATCATGCTTCAGGTACAATCTGCTGTAAATTTAAAGTAGTTTTTTTTTTAGCCAAGAACAACTGATCAGCGGCAATCATTCTGTTCTAAATCCATCAGAAAAGAGAAAAAGCAAGCATGACAGTTAATGAGTTCTGGAGAGTTGCAGGAAGCTTTTAACGCTCCAAAAATCTATGAAATTAAACAATGAAAAGGAATCGTACAATTGTAATTTAAAGAAACTAACATGCTGTGAACCGCACGTTCGATATAAACGAATGTAAACTATTCCAAGGTTCATGCTGTTCAGTGTTGGTATATATCTGATACATAAATAATTATTCTCGGCAAATTATTTCTATTTGTGATATCACTTTTGTATGCGTTAATTGGGAATGACGAGGACAGATGAGGCTGAAGGGGTTAACAGTCGGTACAGAGTATAAAATTTAAGAACTTAACGACCAAATTGGTCACTAAAGGTATATTTGAAACAGTTGTTTAATAAACATAATTAAGAATAAATAAAGGAAAAAAAAAATGTGATTGAAATAATTTGTCAAACTTTCTTTTCAGTTTGAGACAATTTCAAAATTTGAAATATTAGCTAATTGTTCAAAATACTACTTTTTTTTTACGTTTCTTAAAACTCTGATCAACTTTACCACAATATTTGCTGTTTTCTGTTTCTCTGCTATGTTAGTGCTTTTTTTTTTTTTTAAATAATTACTATCGACAGGTATTACTTTGGTTGTCATTATTATCGATAACGGTTAGCACACAGTAAGCAAATCGAATCGTAGCTTATTGACTGCTGCTCACTTATGGGACACCGTTTAAAGAGCGTATGACAATTTCAATTCTATCAGAGAAATTGGAAGCAGGATTAAATTTAAAAAGAATTTTTTTTTTTGTACTTCTAGAATCGATTGATAAATCGGTTTTAGTTTTTTTTTTTCATGCAGAAAATTTGTAGAAGTAATCGCATGAAATATACCTACAAATTCGTAGACTAAACTGAAGAATACTAGGAAAATGTCCAGTGAAAGATTTGCATGATTCTCAAAACAGGTATTTAGTTTTTTAGATTTTTATTCCTTAAAATTTTTCAAACCTTTTGTTCTTAATTTTTTTTGACTTTAATGTTATTCAATTTTTTTT